AAGTAACATATTCTCACTCGGGTGGAAAGTAAATTCTTATTCATACGCGTGTGATATAGGACTATATAGTGTGATATGTGTCACTTTCCTAAGTGGTCGTAGGAAAAGTATATTACATTACGAGTGTGGAAAGTGACATTTTTCACACGAGTGGGAAATACTGTCGCACGAGGCACAAGCCAAGTGCGACTATCACACGAGTGTGGAAAATCACTTTTCACACAAGTGATGTACAATATTTTTCCTACGACCACAAAATAATTTCATCAAAAAATGTAAACCAGGTTATTATTATAATAATTAAAATGTAGTTAAAAAAATAATCAACAATAATTGTATTTATTCAATTTTCATATTTTCTAAACAAAAGAAACTAAAAAATTATTTTAATAATAATTGTTAAAGATAAATATCTAGGATCTAATTTACAACAATTTCAATAATTTAACAATCATATCGATTTGAGTATTATTATGGACATTACATAGATCAAAATAGAAATGATGCGTTTGACATTTTGTGACAGCTGATGCGGAAAGTAGCATATTCGCACACGGGTGGAAAGTAAATTCTTATTCACACGCATGTGATATAGGGCACTTTCCATAGGACTATATAGTGTGATATGTGTCACTTTCCTAAGTGGTCGTGGGAAAAGTTAATTATTCTAATTACAAAAAAATGTGAAAAAACATGGGAATTTCACCAAATGTTATTTAAGTATAATTTTTCAATTTATTACAAAAACTAAAAGAATGTATCATGAAATATGTCAATTTTGAGATGGTTACAAACTGAATTAAAGGATTTACAATACGTATGCAAGTTAGGGTTTAGATAATAGTTAGTGTTGCTATATCTCTATTGCCTATAATATCGAAACTATTTGAAAAAATACTAATAAAAAGACTGAAACCCATCACTGAAGAAAGGAAACTAATTCCAGATTACCAGCTCGGCTTTAGAGAAAACCATTCAACTATAGATCAGGTTCAAATGCGATTGAAAAAGCATTATAAAACAAAGAAGTCTGTTCAGCCATCTTTCTCAATGTTGCGCAGGCTTTTAATAAAGTATGGCATGATGGCTTAAAACATAAACTGAATGTGCTACCTGCACAGCCAGCCATACTCAGAGCTATTGGATTCATACATTTCAGATAGATTTTTTAGAGTAAAACAAGATGAAGCATACTCTGAATTGAAAGAAATTAAAGCAGAAGTACCACAGGGAAGCGTCCTGGGACTCACTTTGTATCTGTTATACACTTGTGACATATTCCAACTAGAACAAGACACAATAGCTACATTTGTAGCTGATACTGACATCCTAGCGATATGCAAAGATCATGAAGAGGCTGTAAATAAACTACAAATATCAGTTAATCAAATAAATTATTGGACCAAAAGATGGCTTATTAAACTAAACGAAACCAAATCTGTTAATATTAATTTTACTAACAAAAATGGTCAAATAATGCCAATTAACATAAATAATGCTCAAGTACCTCGGCAAAATATCTAGGTATTACATTAGATGCAAGACTTCGCTGAAAGGTCCATGTTAAAAAGAAAAGACATGAGTTAAAAAACTCAAGAAAATGTACTGGTTACTTGGTAGGCATTCCAGCCTATCTACATGTAACAAAATTCTATTATATAAACAAGTTCTCAAACCATTTTATAATAATCCAGAGATTTCAGAACAAAGTATTGAGGAACATTGTCGATGCTCCTTGGTACATTAGAAACAGCGACCTTCATCGAGACCTTCAGATGGACACTGTTGACCAGACTGTCAATGAAAGAACAATAATCCGTGGTCAAAAAATGTGTTTAATCATAAGGGCACAATTTAAAAACCATTTTAATATATGCTTTAGAATGAAGTAATATTAACTTATTAAAGAGACGAGGTCTTAAAGTAATAGCTGGTACAGCATGTTTTTTAAACGTTTCCTAAAAAGGCATTTATGGCAGTCAGCGTTTCAGTCTTAGGATCTCTTCCTAAAGCCCTCATCCAAGCTGCATACCTAGTAAGAATTATTTAAAAATATGATATGTAACTATATATTTTTTGGTTCTTCGTGCCCCAATAGAGGACACAGCCGACAATAACAATAACTAGTCATCCTAACCTCAAAAATGAAGGCGTCTGACTTTTACACCAAAAAACCAATACACGTTATCCCATTGTTGCAAGAACCCGATGACGATTAGGTAGATATCAACCAGAAGCAGGTAGTTATGAAGCTTATTTTAAAACAAAAAGAACAAAGCACTAACCGCACTAACCGAAAAGCAGCAATCAAATGTAAATAGACCATACAATTAAAATTCAAATTAAAAACTATAACTATAAAAGACAGATACTCTAAAAGCGCAAAAGATCAGAACCAAACAAAACGAATAAAAGTAATAACCTTAAAATCACACTCAAAATTGCAAAAACTATTACTGTAAAATCATGAGATTGCATCAATAATGTGTATGCGTCGGAGTATCGCAAATGTCAAACGTACAGTGTTTTCATGAAAATTTAGCTATGTTTTTAGCAGCATTAGAGGACCATTTCTACCACGTGCACCCAACAATATTGGCGTTCCACAGTTCACTGTCTTTTCCTCACACCTCTAGTATAAATGATTTGACATAACGAAACTAACAAAAATTATAATTAATGTAGAGTAGGCTTGTATCAAAACTGTAAAGAAATTCTAAAACTAAACAGTAATAAGTGTTTCGTCAATTCTAAATAAAATAATTATTATATAAAAGTGTAAAAGGAAATGTAATTTATCTTCCTATTTTATTTGGAAATTTCTTTAATTATTATATTTTATTTCTATAAATAAACCAACTGGTGAGGTGAAACATTGTGATATATGATATTATTTATGTGTCCTATGCGTACCGTTAATATACAAAACACCTAGAACATTCTTTAAAAAGTTGTCGTAGGAAAAATTGTATACATAACTCGTTAGAAAGTGTATTTTATGCACTTGCCAAATATATTATCCATACTTACAGATTAATCAGACTATTTTTTTACTTAACTTCAGTATACCTCTTATTACTAGAACTATTTTGATCACTGGAAAAAAGGGGCCGTATCATATGGGAATTTTTTTTATTTAGTTTATGTAAATTTTGAAAATTTCATTTTCAGACCGGTGCATATGTTGTAAGTTAAAAATAAGTATACTTATTCCATTTGAACCGGAAAAGTTAATTAAAATCTATTATAACCATTCGAAACCATTCTTTCTAACCCATTAATAAAATCCTTCACATATACCTACAATAAATTGGTTTATAAGAAATTAAAGACAAAATAGACGTTTTGAACTTATACCGTTTTGTCTGCATGCTCTAGATATATATTCGTGATTTTAAGAGTTGCATTCTTCAGATTATATCACCAAACAGAATAAGATGTTACCTTTTTTATTTTAATTTGAATAGATTATTTGAAAGTGGTTTAAAACATAAGTATTTTGTTTGTTTTTTACTAAATAGTAATAACAGAATCTTAACTAGCGTGTAATGGTTATAAAATATTTTTTAAATTAATGCAGACATAATTTTTTAATCGGCATTACAGTGTAATGTTTTAAAATTTTATTGATTCGTAATAAAAATTATTAACCGCATTTTGATTTAATAATATAGATTTCATAGTCTTTATATAAAAATTTTAATTGCCCTGTTTTATTGATGTATTTATTTTACAATTAGGCGGTCCATTAAGCACAATTACACGTGTATATTAAAGATTTAATTAAAAATAAAAGTTGGTTAATTGAAATATATACCAAGCACAGTTTCTATTTACATTGGATTAGCCCATGATTAGCCATAGAAACTTGACTAATTTCACTGTGTATATTATTAATTTTTTTAGTAATTTTGACATATAAAGTGACATTTTTTAAAATCGCAGCAAGAGTCAAAATGCCCGCCATTACGAAAAATTCATTATGTCAACAGTTAAGAAAAGAAACCATAAAAATTAACCTTTTTGGATTTAAAATTAATCTATAGAGGAAAGTCTTCTAATATGGAGTACTTTTTTGAAAAACATTATAATAAAACAACACAGTGCTAAAATTCACTTTTGCGACTTTTTGCAACAAAATGTGGTGTTATTTTAAAAAACAAAATCATTTGCATATACTACGCAAATTTTATATAGAATTGTATAATTAAAACAACCCTTGAAATATCCGTAAACGTCTAAAACGCAATAAACTTTCCATACCACCTCAAACTTCAAAATAAAATACATGTTTTTTGCAGAAAGATAATGGGTAATAAAGGTCCTTAATTTTTATTCTAAATTTGCACAAAATAATCAAAATACAATACACGACAAAATAACCCACTTTCTTGAAAACTAAATAACTTTAACAAGTAATATATTGCACACTGGTGGGGAGTGCAGTGTCCTAGAAGCGAATTGAATTTAGTGAATCTTAACAATAAAAGAAAGTTTAGTCGTTTTACCTTACCTTACACTTAACGGCATATGTATCTGTAAAGTGGAAAGGTTGGGTTTCTCTACAGTATTAGGCTTCATTGTGCATCCTCCAGGGGCATATAGAACATGTCTCTCAACTTGTCAAAAACCTGCTAGCTGACGCTGAAGGGTGTCTACAGACAGCTATCTTCTCAACTTGTCAAAGTCCTGCAGGATATTAACCCTGCTGGTGTCTAGGTTCAGCCAAAGTATCTTAGAAAGTCCTGTAGATTATTAACGTCGCCAAGAGGTGTCTCTAATGCCCAGTTTTTACAAAGTGGGCCTCTACCACTACGATTGTAAATACCAGGGTGAAGTCATTCTATGCGCTCGCTACACAGGACATAACTGAACGGTGCTTTAACATTTCTTTATTTTATTGCTTACGATGGCGCATTTTTGTTTGTAGTTGCGCCTTTTAAATTATATTATATCATATCAGCGACTGTTTTAATTATTTTTTGTTCTGTATATTTTAGAAATATGAAGTATTTAATGACATTCGAGCCTTATACGTACTAGTACCTGCTTTGTTGGGTCTCAAAGGGAATCTAGATATGTGTCTTTCATCAAGGCTTTCAACTCAGGCAAACTTAGGAAATATGAATGACAGGAAAGAAGTAATCAAAATGATTATTGGCAATATCGTCTTAGTACAGGTAAGCAATTAATATTTGTTAATAAGTTTAATTTACAGAGCTAAGATAATTAACCATTTGTCCTTTTTACTGCCATTTAAAGCTTACCTTCTAAATAATAATAGACAATTATTTTTTTAGATTCAAGCTATAGTAGCATCTTGTATCGTATCAGTATTTGCAACAGCAGCATCTGCGGGAATAAATGGTAACTTCGAATGGGTCCATACGCTATTACTTGCGACAGCAAGTATGTTAACTGCAACTTTATCTTGTTTTATATTAGGTAACTACTAGAATATTTTCAATATTTGCACATCAATTTTATTGGTTTTTTTTATTTTCAGATTTATTACTTGTTTCTGTGATATTTCTCTCGCATAAAATGAAACTTAACCCCGATAATTTAGCTACCCCATTAGCAGCTAGCGTCGGTGATCTTGTATCGTTGATAGTATTATCTTCATGGGCAAGACTGTTATACTCTATCCATGGTAAACATTTACTTTTACATTTCTTACTAAATATTTTAAGGTAATTTTTAAATTTTATTTTTTAGACGAATATCCTTGGCTTATGGGAATAGTCCTTGGAGTGTATATACTCATTTTACTGCCATTATGGATATATATCGTTAAAAAGAATAAATACACCTGCAATATACTGACAGAAGGATGGACCCCAGTCATAACAGCTTTAATGATAAGTGGGTGAGTTGTGAGTAAAAATAATAATTAAATGGCTGTGAAGAGTAGCTCAAACAATAAAACTTTGCGGTACATAAAGCTTAAATACTAAACTTTATTCAAATACTAATTAAATACTTTTTTTGTCTAGAACCGGTGGTTTAATCCTGGATATGGGGGTAGACGAATTTAATGGCTATACCATTTTTCAGCCTATAATAAATGGTATAGGTGGCAATTTGGTATCAGTTCAAGTCAGTAGAACATCTACTATGTTACATAAAACGTCTATCTTTGGTCAAATTCCTTCCATTACGAGGCAATGGGTGTCCCCATGTACAGCTTTAATAAGAGGAGGTAAGTCAAACAATACAATATCACGAATTGTAGGAGCACAAACGTAAAAGAGCAAAAAAGGAAGCAATAACAATATTTGAGCATATATCTATGAGCGAGTGCAAATTAGTGTAACTCTCAAATGTGCCAGAAATCCAACTTTTATCAACTCCTGTGACTAGAGACTACTAATTTTAATATGAACCGTAAACTTGGTAATTTTAATATTAGTGACCGCAAAATACCTTTTAACCCCCCCCGTATTTTTTTTAACATAAAGAAACTTGCTTTATCGATCTTAAAAACAAGAAGAACTATGAATTTTTAAAAATTGTTTATAACGAAATGAACTTTGTATCTTTTTTATTTAACGAGCTATTTACAATTTTTTAACTGAATTTCTAGAGCAATTCGTCCGTCCTGGACTTAACATATCAACCATCAACTTTTTTAAAGGGGTCGCTTTAAATTTTTTTTTTCCTTAGAATATTGGGCCTTCAAATCTACAGCACTGGCAAAAATTTCTAAAAAAAAAAAATCGCAACAGTAAACTTTTTACAAAGAAAAAACATTTTTCTGAATGTCAGTTTAACACCCTGTAACTTTGTTGGGAGCCAGTTTTTGATATAGATAAATATAGCCAAATCCACTTATTTTTTGGTAATCTATCTGAGGCCGAATTTATGACATACCTTTTTTAAACACCCTGTATACAGGGTATTTCCGAACTTGGCATCCCAATTTGTAGGGGTGGTAGTTCGCATAATTTGAGAGCTATTGGCAAATTTCATTTTTCTAAAAAAATTATAATAAACTAAATAGAGCCATTATAAAAAAAATCAAAAAGCGGGTCCTACCCTGAGCGCGTACCGCAATAGTTGCCTGATCGGTTACTCATCAGGATTTACAACTCAAAAACAGATGCGATTTGCAAATTTCTCCCTCCGCCCGGCCGGTATCGAAAGACGTAGCCGATTGTTTTTCTAGTGCGTATTGCTCGAGGCGATCCCATCGCTGTGCAGGACCGTACCTGTTTAAAATTTTTAATTATTTTTTAATTATTTTTATTTTAAATATTTTTGAAAAATGAAATCTGCGAATCGGTCTCAAATTATGCGAACTACCACCCCTACAAATTTGGACGCCAATTTCGGAAACACCCTGTATTGGATGGCATTCCTCAAGAGCGATTCTTATGATTTTTGGACGTCAGTGGTGAACGAACTGCAGATGCATTGTTTAAAACTGTTTGTGGCATTATTTCATGTTTAGAATGTGGTTCTAAGCTTGTTTCCCAGAGCTACGATGGTGCTGCCGTAATGGCTGGCCATTTAGGAGGCCTTTAAGCTAAAGTGAAAGAGAAGTTTAACCATACAATTTTCGTTCACTGTATAGCACATAGACATAATTTGGTTTTATCGCGAAGCCTGTATAATATTGAAGATTGCAAAGTTTTATTTTCGACGCTTAGTGATTTGGCTTCCTTCTTTTCAAAGTCATCGAAAATAACTCGCGCTTTGGACATTCACGTTCAAAAAAGGTTTCCAAAAGTTGTTTAGACGCGATGGAACTACAATGGACGTTTAGTGCAAATAGTGTTTCAATACCGTGATTCTTTGATACACTTTTTTCAAGACGTTGGGAAAATAAAGAAACATGGGATGCTGAAGCTGTTACTGCCGCTAAAGGGTATTTGCATTGGCTCAAATAAAACTTTAATTTCAATTTTTTGCTTAACATTTCTGCAGAGATTTTCCCTTTTACTGACATTTTATTCGACATTTTACAGAAAAAGTCAAATGACATTGGCTTCTGCATTAAACAAATTGATGATTTTAAAAATAAAATGAATAAAAAACGAGTTCAGTTTAAACACTTTTGGAATAAGACTTAAAACATTGGCTTAGAACCTGAAAGAAACAGAATTAGAATTCATAATGTCGGCGACAGAGAGACCTCCTATCGTCAATTATACGCCGACATTTTTGATAATATTTTACAACAAATGAACTCACGATTTCAAAACTTTAACGAATTAAAATTTGTTGAATTGTGCAATTTTAATATTAGTAACTACGATTTATCAAAATTTCCATCGGAAGCTTTTAATTCACTAAAATTAAATTATGGAAATGTTTTCGATATTCCAGCATTAAAGTTCCAGTTAAGTGTTGTTTATGAAATAACAGAAATTAGTGATAAAAAGACGCTAATCAATGTGTTAAATTTTTTTATAACAACTGGTTTAAATAAGTCCCTTTGTAAAGTCGTCAAGTTGTGTGAATTAGTACTAATCATCCCAGCCACAAGTGCGTCAGTTGAGCGAAGTTTTTCAGCTTTAAAGCGCTTAAAATTTTTATACGAAATTCAACAAATGAAGACAGACTCTCTAATTTAGCCCTAATATTCATTGAAAAACAGCTTGTTAAACAGTTATCAGAAAATCCAAAATTTTACAACGATGTTATAGACAAATTTGCAACCATTGAGGATAGCGAATAGATCTTAAGTATAAATAAATGTCAACTGCTGTGTCAACTGTGCGAAAAATGCGGGAAAAAATAAAAAAATTTAAGTTAAATGTTTTTTTTACGTTTAATTAAACCAAGGAAGCTTTTCAATGGCAAGTTTTTTTATAGCTTCTAGTACTAAACTAGGTAATAAAGTAATAGTAACACTTCAAAAATCTCAATCATGTCGAATATCCGTATTACTGAGGAAAAAAGCAAGATTTTAACAAAATGGTGAATGCGCCGCGAAAAATTTTCGCCTGTGGCACTTTGCTTACCGACCTACTATACTTTTATACAATCGCTTCCCCTTCCAAAAATGTCACTGCACGCCACTGGTTAAGGTAGTTGTCCAGAAACCCAGATCTGTTTACAGAATTCGGAAATTTGATCATATTTAAAATAAGATGAAAGAATCGTGTTGGTTAACTTTCAATAACTATCGCCTATTACATTTATTTCACAAAGTTTTACTAATTAACAAATTTCCTTTCATTGACGTAGAAATTCTACATGTACAATTATTGAAAAAATCAAGTTCTACCTATCTACCTACCTATCTGCGCCTATAATTTAATATTAAATTTGCCGCATTATTCTATAGGCTTACACTATATAGTTGGGTATTGATGGCAGGTTTATTTTATACATCTTATCGTCTTCTATTTGAGTTTGACTTTATTCAGTAATATTTTTTATTTATATTTGATTGATTTTTATTTGTTTTGTTTTTCAGTATATCCAGCGAAAACGGCTCGTCTTCTCATACTCCTATCTCTACCTGGACATGCAATCTTCGTTTTTGCAGCAGACTTCGTCTATAATGGTGTTTCGACAGTAACACCAATATTTGTACTTATGTACCTCCTAGTAGGATTTATCCAACTCGTTATTTTACTCTATGGGTGTCACCTTCTGGTGCACACGATGTGGAGGTACAAGAACGATCCTGACAACTCTGCCATTCCATATTTGACAGCCATTGGAGACTTGAGCGGTTCCGGGCTGCTATTGTTAGGTTTCATGCTTCTACGAAGCATCAATTGGGAATACAAACCTGTGAAATGAGATTATAGCAAAAAGTTACTGATTATTTGTCCTTTGTAGAGTTGCTTATAGTATAAAGGCTAACTTTTTATGAATTAGGTACTAAAAGAGCTCCTAACAGTTATTCCTTACTTTAAATTGTTTATGTGTTAAACGGATGAATCAAACTTTTTATTTGTTTACGAATATTTATTTAAAAAGTAAATAAATAAATAATTTAATTACACGGAGCGAGATTGAGTAAACAACAGGGCCAACGTGCTTTTGGCTTCCATATACAAAGCTTTTAGAACTGTTGGTCTTGTTCCACTCTAATAATATTAATAATATTACTTTCCTTATAATTTAGTCACTTACGAGTAAATCTTTGAGGCTTTGAGAGAGAAAACGTTTGGCAGTATAATATGCTTCTGTGAATAATTCTATCTATTTACAAATAATCAACCAGAATTAACAATTCTTTGTCCTATGAAGCTGAAGCCAAAATTTTGAACACATAACTTTTGGTCGTGGAGAACTTGAATTTCTCCACTCTTTGTATTGCTCTTTAGTTTCTCTATCAGAGTGATGGACACACGTTTCATTCATATTATCAAGCCATTCCAAATTTGTTTAGGAATTATCTTCAAAACGATGTGAAAAACACGTTCATAATAAATATACAATGCTTCTGCTACACGTCAGAGTCTAATTCGTCAATCTTTTAAAATCATATCAGGGGCTGAAATTGTTCTTTCACATCGATGCTTATCTTTAAATTCTGAACTTCCTTTCTTAAATTCTACAACCCCTGTTTTTAATGGTGACGTAAGACGTAATACAGGACATTGATTGCCTAAAGTTTATGTCATATCACCATAAATGTCTTTACCAAATAACCCTTTCAAAATGAATACTTAATGAAAGACCAAAATGAAATTTTTTCAAAATGTAGCCTTTTCTAAAAAAACTCACAATTCTATCAGCGTTTAACTTATCGCTAACACCGGCCGATATAAGAGAAGCACCTCTTGGCGACGTTGTCAACTACATTAAATCTGTAGGCTGGCTCACGAGCTAGGAGGTGACTATCTTCTCAGAAGGATGCACAATGGGCCTAATGAAGCCTAAGTGCCGTGAGGTAACCCACCCACCCTCCACACGTTACAGATACAGAGAACTTATAGACTAAGATCAGACCCGACCGTGTTATAACTGCGCTGATCTATTTTTTAATAGATATTTATTGATAGGGAAATATGCACCTGCCATGTTGCCTATCATGATATGGCCTTAAGTACTTTTGATTAAAATTTTATTAATTTTTTGAACAATTTCGTTTACTCTCTTTGAAGAAAAAAATTAATTAAAATTTTACTTACAGTTTGAGTTTTGCAAAAATATTGTAAATGATAACCGTAATCGTTAGTAGATTCCACTGTTAATTCAATGTTTTGGTACATAATCTTTTTTGCGACGATATAATATCGATAAAAATACTTTTTAAATGATTCATCACCAAAGTAATGCACATTTTGCTTCTCACTATGTAATAGAAAACACTTCTTCTTGATTGTAAACAAAGCAACATTCCATATTAAGAACTCCTAAAAATGTGGTCAAAATAAAAATGACAGTAGGTAGTTAAGCTCTTGCGCAATAGAGGACTTCTATACAAGGGAAGTGCAACCAACTTAACAAAATAAAATTGACACTAATGACATAAAAAATCGGGTCACATAAAGAGGCTGTTTTTTAGTTTACTTTTTGGTTTTTCTTAACTACTTTTATGCCATTTACATATCATGTTGTACCCGTAAGGTAAAAAAGACTTTTTAGTTTAGGGTATTTTACATTTAATTTAAAAATTTGTCAGTGTCAGCTGTCAATTATGGTGATGATAGAACACAAGCGAAACCATAGATGGGCATAACGTAACTAGTATTGTATATAGTTGTGTAGGGTTTGGAACTTGATTTTGTAACAGCTTCATTTTTTCATTTGACATAAATATATAAAACCAACTGAAAAAATGTTTAAAGAAACCGGGAGAAAAACAAATAGACTATTAACAATAAAAAAATAAATCGCAATGCTACGTTTATGTTTTGACATTATCGACAGCTGTTATTGACAAATGTCTTCAACATCTAAATGTAAAATACTCTAAAATAAAAAGTCTTTATTACGATACGGGTACAACATGGTATGTAAATGGCATGAAAGTAGATAAGGAAAACCAAAAATTTAAAAGAAAATAAGCCTCTTTGTGTGACCCGATTTCTTATGTCATTAGTGTCAATTTTGTTAGGTTGGTGGCACTTCTCTTGTATATAAGTCCTCTATTGTTTTAAAATGACGGAGAGCTGGATCTCTGCGTCCTTGTATGATGGTTAGGGTAGTGCGCTAACTTACTCTTGATTATATGTACTTCTAACAGTTGGCAATATACTTATTGTGACGACTATATTTATTGTACATGTCCATCGATTCGATTACGGTGCTGTCCGACGTGTTACGAATATTGGTCTGGCTGGTATACTTTTTTCCTTATCTGTATAATGTATTATATTACGTTATGAACATATACATTGAACAAGATTATACCTGTAACACCTGGTTGATAAGAGATTGCGGCCAAGTGAGGAACGGCAATCAAAACTTTTTAAGTTCTTTTCATATCTCTCTTTAAACTGATTTATATTTTAACATCAAAACCAGTAAAAAAAGTGGTTATAAACAAATGAATAAATACATTTTAATCAAAAGTACTTATTGCGGCCATATTTTGATAGGCAACACAGCAAAATTGAATTTCTCTATCAATAATTATCTATAAAAATTGTAGTACTAAAGAAATACAACATCAATTCCACATAAAACAATTTTTTATCAAAAAATATGACAAGCTTTTTCGGCCTTAGGGCATCATCAGGTCTAAAAAATGTAGTACAACGGTATTACAAACTGAGACGTCTCCAAATAGATTAAACCGAACAGTTAAGTAGCTGCTACCGATAACGAGGAGAAAAACTAAAAATTAATTAAATAAAAATTAATATTAACAAAAATAAGGTGGTAAATATCTTAGCTTACAATTGTTCGTATAAAGAGAATTTAAAAAAGTGAAAGGTTTATTTTTAATAACAAAATGATGGGGGAATAAAAATGAACGTAAATAGATCACTAACATCCTTATTCACAAAGCACTGACGTATTGGACATAGCATAATCTTTTGAGGTTATGTTTCGTCGAATCGTTAACAAGTGGAATATGTGTTAATATTTTACTGGGAAACCTGTATTAAATGTATAGAAAAACATGTAATTATTGTCAATTTAACAATATTAAATTAATTAAATGACAGTTAGTGAAATGTCTCCCTCTATTGGATATTTATTATAATAACGTTTCTATCTTTAAAAATGTACATGTAATTATGATATTTTGAGAATTGGGCTTTCAATATGTGTAATAATTTTCATTTATATATATTAAAACAAATCGGTTCCAACAAATGTGATATTTGTTAGTATAAGTTAAATAATTTTCTGTAATTACATTACTGTATAAATTTGACCAAGTTTATTACACAAAAGTATTATTATTGTTAATTAAATAATAATTTATAATGAAATTAACCAACCTATTATAATTTATTAGTTCTTAAAAATCGCATTAGGCAAAGTAAATTTCTGTGAAATATTTTTACTTAAGTATTTCTATCTTGTTAAGCTTATTTATTATTTTATTAAAAAGAAATTTAGTGAGAAATACGAAGGATCTCAGGCAGTATTCTGAGTATTAATAATATTTTTTTACTTGTTTATAACAAAAGCATGTTTGTACTTCACTATTTTATAATAAACGATGAGAAAAATTATGCTATTTTTTATTTCAAATTTAATCTAATCCAACTTATTTTTTATTGAAAAATTACGGTAATTACTAAAGCCCTTCCTATGGTTCCTCAGTATTGCATTCGTGCAGACGAAAAAATTTTCTTACCCCCATTTTTAAAAACTTTTTTTACGTTTCCGAAAATGCAAAAAAAAATTTCGTCTGTTCGTCTATGTGTATGTATGCCGACACGATAACTCTAGAACGAAAATTATAATTGACTTGTAGTTTTGATTTTCTTGAATAATTACTTCTAACTTAGAACTCTATTGATGTTCAGAATTTTCGGTTCATCCTAACTACTTAAATATCAATTTTCTTAAAATCCGCCTATGCATTACTAACATTCCTAACATTCTTAACACTCCATACATTGCAAATATTCTCCAACGACCTGTTGAACAACAGCTGTTGATTGTAAAGGTGAAATTTCTAAGGCGGATTGCAACCTTCATACTTGCAACCATAGCCATTTTGGAGGCTATTTTTTTTCTAAATTAGTCGCCAGCCTGCCAATTTATGAAAAATATTTAAGCAGTTTCTTAAAAATTACTTTTTTATGGTGGTGCTAACTTAAGCTTACTACTATTTCGCCCCTAGCTACAAAAACACCTTCATAAAATTTATTGGCTCTCTGTCGCGACCGGCCATTTTATTATGCAAAAATTAGAATAATACTTGGCTGTGCTTGTCAAGTATCAAGATGTTAACTATGATGTGTGAATTGCTCTTAAATGTCAATTTGTTTAAAAATGTTTGTATGCTTCTTTTGATATTTATTGCAAATAATTTGTAGTGTATCTCAATTCAAGCTTTCCATAAATAAAGGTACAGCAAATAGATAATATAATGTTCTTATACAAAGCATTTTTTTATTATATTAAAGAGAGGTAGGAGATAATGCTGGTTTTTTGTAGATAATTTTAATTATACGGTGTCCGTATAAGATTAACACCCGTATGCATTGTCGATCCCCAGCTATTCACCAGAGATTCGTCAGAGATTCATTTCGGCGTATCACCAGCGATCCTCTGGCGAAAGCCCGAAAAGGTGGCAACTTGCTGGAGATTGTCACCGGCATCTCTCGCATGTTATTCATGATTCATTTCTTAAAACTCAAAAAACAATGGTCAAATATCAATTTGTTCCCTATAAAAGAACATGAAAACTTGCGAGAGATGACATGCCGGTGACAATCTCCAGCAAGTCGCCACCTTTTCGGGCTTTCACCAGCGGATCGCTGCTGATACCGCCGAGATGAATCTCTGGCGAATAGCTGGCGATCGACTATCCATACGGATGTAAGAGTGTCAGAATTAAAAAAAATTATTGCAGTAAAAAGTACTCATTTTATACAGTAAGGCCCTAAAAAAATTTGCGAAAAATCCACAAAATTAGAAGTATTAGAAATTAAAAATTAAAAAAACCCGACTTTAAAAACGTGCAGCTGCCATCACCACATCTTAACCAAATTTATATGGGACCACCCCTGAGGTACCCCCTTACTAACAAAAAAAGAATCCTATAAATCGGACAAGGTGGCAAAGCATTGTCGCTAAACATACATAAAAAATGAAGAGTTTGACGATTTTCTCATGGAGGCAATTATTAGATTTTGAACAAATTTATATGGGACCATCCCTGAAGTAACTTCTTTCTAACAAAAAAAAGAATCATTGAAATCGGACATCGTGTTAAAGAATTATCGCTGAACATACATAAAAAAAATTTAAAAAAAAATTTAAAAAAAATTTAAAAAAATATTTTTGAAGTCGGTTAAAAATAAATCAAAAGTTGTAATTTTATAGATTATTTTGGTTTTATCATACTATATGTAGGTGACAATTTCGAAGTTTTAATGCTAGTGTAAGTGAAGTAACTTACTTTTGTTACATTTTAACTGAAATTAGATATCTATGGAAAATTCGTTTTTGTTCCTTCTAACCGGAATGGACGCGATACATTGGCGTACAAAATTATTTTATACATGATTTTTTTTTTAATTTGGTGTCATCGGCATCGACTACTAAGGCTATTAGTCTCGTGTTTTGTGTAGACTTTGTTACGGTTTCCCAGCGCCACTTTAGGAACAGCACTGTTAATTGGAACCCAACAGTGAAAGGTCGAGTGGGGAATCCTACCAAAGTATCAGAATTAATTTTTAAATAACTAAATTAAATAAAAAAATCCCGGCTAACGGTGGGATTCGAACCTGGGATTCTTGTATCTACAGGCAGAGACTCTACCACTGAGCCATAATAACAATTTCGAGTAAATAATTTAATAAATTGGGAACAGCTGTTGAAATTTTGTAAAATTATGATTTGAATATTATAATACATGTTTAATAATTATTTATAGTCCATAAATACATACAATTGTCCGGTTCCGCCGGTAACAATTTAAAATTACTTTTTCTATGAAACGACACTGGCAGGTAAACATTACTGCGAATTTCTCGAAGCCGTCCGACGTGGTTTAACATTTACCCCCTCTCTACCTACAAAAAGCCTTTTAATTTTTTTAGGGACCTTACTATATAAAATGAGTACTTTTTATTGCAATATTTTTTTT